AATTTGTTTGAGCCGAGCAGGAATAGGCTCGGCCGGTACAATTGGTAACGGATTGTTTCCTGGTGGTAAGTGCTGGAGAAGATCGAAAGGCCTGCTGTCACTGACTTTACTAACCAGCATTTCGAGCAATCTGGTTTGTCGCTCATTGGAACTGAGTATCACGTCATGCAGCTTGTCAATACCTCGACTAAACGTCTGCTCGACTGACCGAGACTACTCGTCTTGTCACTTTCGAAGAAACGACCTTGTTGGCGGATCAGATCCTTTACCACCATCCTCATCGCACTCCTCTACTATCCCTTCATTGAGAACGCATGTGTTTCTGTTAGGGACTTCTAGACCGCGTAATTGACCGTCGAGATTAACTTCTCTCTCTCGACGAGTCGCGCTCGTGGACTCAGGTGTCACAGCGCTAAGGGGATTCTACGCCTGTGGCACACTTTGTCCTATGCTCTGATTCGGCAAATCGGCTGTCGACTTTCCCATAACTGTTTTCTTTTTTACCGATCGTGTTTCAATTGGCATGAACTTCGTAGTCTAGCACTGGGTCCCACCGGGCGTGCCAAAATGTTGACCCTAGAAACTACTAAGCCTACGTGGCGCGCAGGCCGAATAATCTATAAGCTAACTACGTCCTTCGGTGAATGCGGGGCGTGCCAACTCATCGGCCGAGCTCGGCCGAGGAGTAAATTTTGTTGATGTTGCGTTGGGCGCGCGGCTGACTTCTGCGTCTTGCGATTGCGGCCGAGAAAGGAACACGTCTCGGCCTCTTGGGCTCTCGAACCTGAAGACAAGGTTACTATTCTTACGAAGTTCACGAGTCGTCATCGTCGGATTCAGTCACAGTGATGTTATTCGTCAGAGTAAACTCACGCCGAATCGACACCAGAGTGTAAGGGCACAAATACTCAAAGCAAATATAAGTTTTAATGGTGAACGTGGTTCGGCCGTCCGAATGCCGAACTCTAAATCCCATTTGGGAATATCCAATCATAAAATAACTCGGCAAGCAAAGCGCCGAGCTCGATATACCGTAACACCTCACTTCGCCAAGAAGGCTAATGAGATGACCTCAACCAATAAGGATCCGGAAATCCTCCTTGACCGAGACTTGGATAGGTAATCAACCGTTCTCACCGCAGTGTTGTTGATGCCAACGGAAGATACTGCGAGATCGACTGATTCTACGGTGACAGAGCTATTTATGCCGACTTAAGATATCACCGGTTGCTTTCACAGTGCTGTTGATGCCAACGGAAGATGTGTCAGCGAAAAAGAAAGAAAAAATCTCAAGTTGTTGAGTTTGCGCAGGGCAGTTTTGTATTGACTTGCAGGGGGCCTTCTCTGACGCACAGCTTCCCCTATTTATAGCGCTGTATCTTGAATCCGAGTTAAAATCCTACTCGGACTAGGTCTTCCTCTTCGGATCAACACCACCTCGACCGGTCCTATCTTCACTAGGATTGTGAACCTAGTCCTTAACTGAGCCGGATTCACTTTCTGGGTTACTGATCCCGCCGAGACTCCTTATTGTACTAGGACTTGACTTGCATTATGATCTACCCAACCTAGGCTTGGAAGCCCACGAGTTGAACGATCCATGACCCTCTCGCCGCGCGGCCTCCCGGGCCGAGGATGATCCTTCCTTCGGCCCAAACTATTATTTTGGGCCCAAACACATCTACAGCCACATTATTTGTGGTATACGAGGAGTCATTCTCCTTCATTTCCTTGGGTTTTGCAAATTTTTCAAATGATGTGGTTGTCCACATTAAATACCACTTAAGGTGGTATGAAAATGTGATACAAAAACATGGTATGAATAATATTAGAGTAAATTGTAGCTATGGTCCCTGAACTTTACTCAAATTGGAGCAATGGTCCTTCAACTAAAAATCCATTACCATTGGTCCTTCAACTCATTAAAACGTGCAACTATGGTCCCTCAACTAAAAATCTATTACCTTTGGTCCCTCAATTTTAATTCAACTGGAGAAATGGTCCATTAACTTTATCCCAATTGTAGCTATGGTCCTTCAAACATAACTTGTTTTGACAAAATTGTTTACGTAGTTGACAAAAATGACCATTATTACACACTTTGATGAGTTGAGGGACCCTAATTAAATAAATGGTTATTCCAACATAACATATTTTGACAAAATTTTGAAGAAATAAATGAAAAGGACTATAGCTACACATTTTGATAAGTTGAGGGATCAATGGTAATGAATTTTTAGTTGAGGGACCATTGCTCCAATTTGAGTAAAGTTCAGGGACCATTGCTACAATTTACTCATAATATTATTCCAAACAAGTGTAGGTACTAGTAAATGTCATAATATTCTAATTCACTTTTATCCTCCCTAACTTAAATGTACAACGGTGTGTTACAACATGATGTTAACTTTGTAAGAATTCTTTTACTTTTCTGAAGTTGGCCGCTTCGGGAATATGCTCAAGAGATCATGAATGAAAGAAGGTCACCTTAGTAAGCCTTCGCTTTCTGCCTTTAAGTTTGCGTGTATTTTGAGTAGAAGACACCAGATCACTTTTAAAAGAGATGTCAAATACACTAAGACTAGACATCAAGATGTTCTCTAAGAGATGTATCATATATGATGTGTCTGTTGAGTCATCTGACTTTTTATTGTTTACTTGTCTTTTTTACAGCAAACAAAGATAGAGTTAAATGTTTTTAATTTAATTTTTAATGCATGAATCTCATTAACAACCAATAAGATGAAACAAATATCAATTTAAATTATTTTTAGTCGTTAATGTAATTAATGGGGCCCAATATATTAATAAATAAATATTTAACACATCTATGGAAAAGAAAAAGATTTAACATTTATATTCAATTGCTCGCATTGTCAATCAAATAAATTTTGATATATTATATTTGATATCTTCTTAAGAGATGCTCTAATAGTAGTTTATAAGTATTAGGCCGACATTCATATTAAAATGAAAGGTAGTTCTATTCATACACTTATTTTTACTTTTTATACTCTCTCATTTTTTGGTCGTCGGAACAATAGATTAAAGATTAATAGCTACTAATTAATAGAAGTATGTAAGAAATAAAAATTAGTGTGGAGTAACACTTTCCAAAGCGAATTAGGGTGTACGTGTGGAGGCCCATGTATGATTTGGGTTAGATGGTCGATTAAACTATGTAATATAATTATATTTATCAATGAAAAACTAGGTTGAAAAAAAAATAAAATGAAAAACTAGGGCCTATTTATTAAAAAAATCAAAGACTAGGACCTTGGGAACTGGGGCTCTTCGACTGTAATGGAAATGGATCATCTCCGGATCTCTTCCATCAAGGTCATCAAATCAAGTGATCCGGGTCTTCTAAATTTTATCCAATGGCAAAAAATTATCACAGTTTTTAATGAATCAAAATAGGTGGGCCGTTAGATGAAATTTGGAAGACCCGGATCACTTGATCCGGTGGCTTTGGTAAAAGAGATCTGGAGATGATCTCTTTCCGTCTCTAATGACTTAGATTAGTTTTTATAATAAAGAATACTAATTAATTTAGGTTAATTTGGACTAAAACATAAAATTGTTTACAACAATCGTAATGGTTTGAATTTGAATCAAACTGTTGCATTTGTTTTAAAAAGGCATATGATTGCCTATAAATCTCCTCTGCATTTAACGTCAGTTAGCAACAACATTCATATATACGAAATGGGAGAGAAACACAATGAAGTTTGCCAAAATCAAAGTTTTGATGTTGAGATTTTAATTATAGATAGTTGAATCATGACGAAGCCTACGCCTAAGTAGGGACGAAATTCTGTTTCGAAGACGTTGCGAATCTGCAAGCCTTTATTTGCATTGCAAATCCAATATTCTAATATGGTTTCATCATACTGTTGAAATTTGTATCATTAATTGGTTGTTTATTTTTATTCTCAATAAAATTCTTAGTTATGATTGTTGTCCGGCTGGCCAACAGTTGCCGTGTTTGAAATATGTGATGGTATTTCTTACGATTATTCACACTAGCTTCATTGCTTACAATTACATATATACAGAATTTTTCACGCCATCTCCACCACTTAGGTTTAAGGGTTATGATTTTCACACACCCTTAACTACTTTTCCCACACTTCTTCCTATTTTTTAGTACTTAATTGGTATCCTACTATTTAATCTTCCATATATACCCCTCCCTATTTAATCTTTCATTAATTACCATAAAAAAGTAGGAAGGGTATATATGGAAGATTAAATAGTAGGATATCAATTAACTATTAAAAAATAAGAAGAGATATGAAAAAAGTAGTTAAAGGTGTGTGAAAATCACAACCCAACGTTTAAATTGCAGTGAGTGTTCATATTATGCCAGAGCAAAGTGCCGATGGTAGGCCCCAAAGAGCATAAACATATATATATCGGTGGACTCAATTGCAGTAATGTTTCAAACTTTCAAGAACATGGCAACATTACGTCAACTCCAATTAACATTTCTTAAAATTTGATTACGTGTTTTGCGTGTTGACTTTTAGTCACGATTTGAAAATCCCGGTAACAATTCAGTTATAATATGCATGGTTATTTGTTTAACATGCCTTATCATGTACAAGAATAATAGCTACGGTAAACTGACATGCATTTAACTTTTAAACCAAAAAGAACAAATCTAATCAAACAAAAAGTCATAAGTAATGAAATAGAAGATTAAAACACTTTGCTCACGTACAAGAAATTAATGTTCTTCACTTTCATTTAATCTCTTTAAAGAAGTAATACAATGAGTTCTTACAACAGAATACAGGAAGGGATCTGTTAGACCCTTATTATGCACAAAAATGCACTTGTTTGTGAACTGAATAACAATGAAGAGAAATGGTTCCCAATTAACATCCAAAAGAAGTTATTCCGACCCATTCAAATGGCTGTAACCGTTAGCTCTTAGTAATGCTTCGGAGGTGGAGGTGACCTGTAGTAGTATGCAGGTGGTGGTGGAGACTTCAATGGAGGAGGAGGTGAGCTGTAGATGTATGGAGGAGGTGGGGACTTTGATGGTGGTGGTGGGGACTTGTAGTGGTAAGGCGGTGGTGGTGACTTTGCTGGTGGTGGAGGTGATTTGTACTGGTAAGGAGGAGGAGGGGAAGGTGACGGTGGAGGTGGTGATTTGTAGACATAAGGAGGAGGAGGTGAAGGTGAAGGAGGTGGTGGTGACTTGTAAACATAAGGAGGTGGTGGCGATTTATAGATGTAGGGAGGTGGAGGTGATGGAGATGGAGGTGGTGGTGACTTGTAGACATAAGGAGGTGGAGGTGATGGTGATGGAGGTGGTGGCGACTTGTAGACATAGGGAGGAGGAGGTGATGGGGAAGGTGGTGGTGGTGATTTATAGACATAAGGAGGAGGAGGTGATGGAGATGGCGGTGGAGGAGATTTGTAGACATATGGAGGTGGTGGTGAGGGTGATGGGGGTGGTGGAGACTTGTAGACATAAGGAGGAGGAGGTGAGGGTGAAGGAGGTGGTGGTGACTTGTACACATAGGGAGGAGGAGGTGATGGTGATGGAGGTGGCGGCGACTTGTAGACATAAGGAGGTGGAGGTGATGGTGATGGAGGTGGTGGCGACTTGTAGACATAGGGAGGAGGAGGTGATGGGGAAGGTGGTGGTGGTGATTTATAGACATAAGGAGGAGGAGGTGATGGAGATGGGGGTGGAGGAGATTTGTAGACATATGGAGGTGGTGGTGAGGGTGATGGGGGTGGTGGAGACTTGTAGACATAAGGAGGAGGAGGTGAGGGTGAAGGAGGTGGTGGTGACTTGTAGACATAGGGAGGAGGAGGTGAAGGTGAAGGAGGTGGTGGTGACTTGTAGACATACGGAGGAGGGGGTGATGGTGATGGAGGTGGTGGCGACTTGTAGACATAAGGAGGTGGAGGTGATGGTGATGGAGGTGGTGGCGACTTGTAGACATAGGGAGGAGGAGGTGATGGAGATGGGGGTGGAGGAGATTTGTAGACATATGGAGGTGGTGGTGAGGGTGATGGGGGTGGTGGAGACTTGTAAACATAAGGAGGAGGAGGTGAAGGTGAAGGAGGTGGTGGTGACTTGTACACATAGGGAGGAGGAGGTGAAGGTGAAGCAGGTGGTGGCGACTTGTACACATAGGGAGGAGGAGGTGATGGTGATGGAGGTGGTGGCGACTTGTAGACATAGGGAGGAGGAGGTGATGGGGAAGGTGGTGGTGGGGATTTATAGACATAGGGAGGAGGAGGTGATGGGGAAGGTGGTGGTGGTGATTTATAGACATAAGGAGGAGGAGGTGATGGAGATGGGGGTGGAGGAGATTTGTAGACATATGGCGGTGGTGGTGAGGGTGATGGGGGTGGTGGAGACTTGTAGACATAGGGAGGAGGAGGTGAGGGTGATGGAGGTGGTGGTGACTTGTACACATAGGGAGGAGGAGGTGATGGTGATGGAGGTGGTGGCGACTTGTAGACATAAGGAGGTGGAGGTGATGGTGATGGAGGTGGTGGCGACTTGTAGACATAGGGAGGAGGAGGTGATGGGGAAGGTGGTGGTGGTGATTTGTAGACATAAGGAGGAGGAGGTGATGGAGATGGGGGTGGAGGAGATTTGTAAACATACGGAGGTGGTGGTGAGGGTGATGGGGGTGGTGGAGACTTGTAGACATAGGGAGGAGGAGGTGAGGGTGATGGAGGTGGTGGTGACTTGTACACATAGGGAGGTGGAGGTGATGGTGATGGAGGTGGTGGCGACTTGTAGACATAAGGAGGTGGAGGTGATGGTGATGGAGGTGGTGGCGACTTGTAGACATAGGGAGGAGGAGGTGATGGGGAAGGTGGTGGTGGTGATTTATAGACATAAGGAGGAGGAGGTGATGAAGATGGGGGTGGAGGAGATTTGTAGACATATGGAGGTGGTGGTGAGGGTGATGGGGGCGGTGGAGACTTGTAGACATAAGGAGGAGGAGGTGAGGGTGATGGAGGTGGTGGTGACTTGTAGACATAGGGAGGAGGAGGTGAAGGTGAAGGAGGTGGTGGTGACTTGTAGACATAAGGAGGTGGAGGTGATGGTGATGGAGGTGGTGGTGACTTGTAGACATAGGGAGGAGGAGGTGATGGGGAAGGTGGTGGTGGTGACTTATAGATATAAGGAGGAGGAGGTGATGGAGATGGGGGTGGAGGAGATTTGTAGACATATGGAGGTGGTGGTGAGGGTGATGGGGGTGGTGGAGAGTTGTAACGGTATGGAGGGTGCGCAGATTGCTTTGGTGGTGGGAAATTGTAGTAACGTTTTGTGCTGTGGGGTGGTGGTGGTGAAGAATAAGTGTAAGGCTCAGTAGCAAGCACACTTGTGGCTAAAAGGCATAATGTCACGACATAAAACATTGGAGGCCAATGCCTCGGCTGTTTCGAGGCTATCATTCTCTGGCAATTGAGATGTTATTGCCAGAAAACTGTACTTCGTTCTTAGAACTTGTTTGTGAGTGAGTTGAGTTGCTTTTGAAAGGGTGAGAGCTATCCCTTTTTATAGCATGCAATATATGAAATCGTAGTTGAAAAGACATGTTTGTTTATTCAGTAAAACAGGCTGGACTGATGCTTTAAAAAATTTCCATATATGTAACTCGTAGACTTTGAAATGTTTTAATCAATCAAGGTCTACTATTTCGACCAATGATTGTGGGATCCCACATATATTTTAGCTTAATTTGTTCTTTCATGGAGGCCATGAACAAGTCAAGTTGCATGGTTGCTAGGAAAGTGTCGTGTGCATGGCTGCATAAGAGTTCAATTGTAAAACCGTGTTAGAAGCATAGACGGTTGAACTTTTCCCCAGTTATATGTCTGTCTCTTTTTGTTGTATAAATATTGAGGCTTCTTTTAACAAAAGTTGAGAAGCCACTTTATGACTAATTAGTTGTCATGGACTAATTATACTTGTGTAGAAGGTGCTTGCAACTACAAGTTTGGATGAGAAAATTTCAAGTTTCAAGGGATTTAGCTTAAAGATACGAGTCCATTGAGACTTGAAATTTCTTCATCCAAACAGAGCCCCATAAGGTAAAGATACGAGTTCACGAATCTCATCAGAAGCATATATCGTTTTCAATAATTTATGTAAATTAAACATGAAATAGTAATTAAAATTCAGTAGAGACGAATACTAATGAATCGATATGGATCCATGTATCTCATGGAAAATATGTAATCATTTTCATTATTAATTAAAGGGACACTTTCGATGCGGTCCTTAACTACCAATGTTCTTTGACTGAAACCTCGGTGGTTTTTAACTTTTGATCGAAGTCTTTGACATTAATGTAATAATGAATTTTTATGTAGGTTATTATAATTTTAAATTAAAAATAAAATTTGTAGTTATTTATATGAGATTTTAAATGAAACCCATATTTTATGGGATTAAAAATATTAAAATAATTATACTCTCCAATATGTGTATATACGTATGTATGTATGTGTGTATATATATATATATGTATGGGTATATTCATCAAAACAAACCAAAAAATTGTTGTACCAAAGCATGGGTACATTTTTCAAAAAAAAAAAAAAAAAAAAAAAAAGGTACAAACTTATTCTAATTTTTTTTTTTGGGAAATGTTTGAATTGAAAATTAATTAGGAGTTTAATAAGGGTGTGAGTGTGAGTATTAAAACTCTAAATCAATTACTAATTTTTTTTTTTATAAAAATTATGTAACTTACATGTAATTCATTAATTTATTAATGTTAGGGACTTTGATTAAAATCTAAAAACTGATAAGGTCTTAGTCAATGAACATTAGAAACTAGGGACCATAAACTAATTTTTCCTTAATTAAATCGAACATGCATAAGATAGTAGTATAATTTGAGTGAAGACGAATATTAATGTGGGGTGTGATATTCACACACCATTTTTTACTTCTCACACACTTTTCTAATTTTCGGTCGTTGGATCGAGTGAATTGAAGAAAGATCAGAGGGCAGAAATTAACAAGAGATGTGTGGATAGCACACCCCTATTAATGAATCTAAAGGCTAGTTAAATCAAGTTTATATTTAATCAACCAATCAGGGAAGCATCGGAAAAAAAAAACAACATATATATATATATATATATATCTTCTATTAATTAATGAAACCATTTTTGTCAACCAAAAGAGGGTAAAAAGATCACTTAGTCTTCTATCACACAAAAAAAAAATGATGGGCAATAATGTAATTTCACAGGTCCAAATTTTACTATTTTTATTGAAGCATCACCTACAGATGATGTTAAAATACCTCTAATATTAAAAAAAAAAACAAAAAAAACAAAAACATAAACCTCTCACTCCCCCGACGTTCTCTCTCTCTCCCTCTCTCCTTCTCATTTTCTAAAAAAATATTTCATACACACAAAATGTGTAGGCAAATGCTAATGTGTGTGTATATATATATATATATTATATGTACGAACTAATTTAATCTAAGTCAACTTTTAGGTTCTTTCTTTTGCTTTTTCATTAGTTCATTTCTATCTTAATTGAGTTGGAACGAAGTACATATATAGAACCCTCTTAACCAATGGCGGAATCCAGACAGATCAATAGATTTAAAGATTTTCATTAAATCAAAAGTGTCACAATCCTCGAAAGCTTCTGCTTTAGAATTAGCTTCTTGATATAGATACTGTAGGGGCAATATACCATCGTCCATGTGGTAGTCGATTGGCGAATCTCTTGAATTAATAATGGTCCCAAGTCTCCAAGGTCGTTCCATATCTTAATTAGAACTTTGGTTAGGTTTCTCTTAAAAAAAATTAGGGTTAGGTTAGATTTATATATATATTTTTTCATATATGAGGTATCCTACAGCATATTGGCAAACTAGTTTCCCTTCATATGCAGCTCCGATATTATATGAGGCTACATCCTACTTTCAGTTTCCGGTCAAACGGTATGCCAAAGCAGAACCGATAACCTCAAATACATTTATGGGAGTTCACACATGAGTTAGGTTAGAGTTATGTGAAAAGAAAGAAGGTAGAGACCGATGAGGATAAAATTAACAAGATGATCGAGTAGGGGTAGGGGGGGGGGGGGCGGTAATAGCACCACTAATCTTGATCTGTCATAATTGATGGAGAAGTTGACAATGAGAATGGATCAAGATGAATAATGAAACAATATATTTTTTTTTCCCTCTCAAACTTATGATCTCTTAATTAAATTTGACTAGTATATTCATGCTCACTTACTTATTGTCTTATAAATTTTTTTTTTTTGTTCACAATTAATTTTCTTTGTGTCTGTAAATATTAAATTTGCAAGCACAATAATGAAATAAAGTAGAATAAAATATATAAGTTCTCTAAGAAATGTTCTCCAGGAATATATATATACTTTCTTGTAGTGGATATACAGAGAACGTGCTCTCTAGTCTCCAAGTTGCAGTTGCCTACGGTCGGCACCAGACAACATATAGATTGGTGATGGTGTGCAATGTTGGCTATGTTCATCATCTCTTTCAATTTTTTTTTAATTAAGTCAAAGTGAAATCATCATTTCTTTCATCTCCCTTCTTATGCGGGTTCAACACTTGATCTCTAGGTTTCCTTGAAATCCTTCAGAAACTGAAAGCTTCATTAATTACGTTTTTTCACTAATTTAGAAAAAAAGTTACAAATTACTAGTATGTTATTTTTCTATGATTTAGTAACAATAGATTATCTATTTCAATATATTCCTTTACACCAAACGAAACCATATGGTCATATCAGTTCGTGCAAAAGATGGATTTACGAGAATAAACACAATTCTTTGCCACCATTGGCTCCCTTTGTTTTTTTTAACAAATGAAATTATCTATACTAAGGGGTTGGATGAGTAGGCTAAGCCTCACAATGGGCTAACAATAATGTGGTTCAAATTCACTTTCGGCAAGAATCAAACCTAACACATTTCACTTACAAATGAAGAGGAAACCACTAGACCGTAGTACTAAGTGACCCTTCTACTAAGTGTTTAATTTTTCTTTTTCATGCTAAGTGTTTATTTTAAGGTAGCTCATTTTTCCAACTTACCAAATAATTTCAAGTACCTATTCTTTTAGGTTTCGTTTTTTTTACCCTATTATTTTAGCCAGTAACAAAACCTCATAATATTTTCACAATAATGCTATTATTACCACATTATTATACCACCTTATGTAGCGGCTGAGTTGGACATGCCTTCCCACTTAATTACAATATACTTGGATTTCCATATAAATTTTATTAATTTTAATTAGTTTTTGTTCAGAAACAGATATTAGCTTGAATTAAAACACTTGAATTTTCATAGTCTTGCACCCCTCGTCCATTCATCCTCAAATACTCTTCTTGTCGCCCCAATCTCCTCCCCCCTCCTTAAAGTTCCTCTAATTGTCTTGTGCTTCTTCATCCTCCTTCCTCCTCTTTTCCAAAACAAATAGAAAGAACATTAAAAAATAAAAAAACAAACAAACAAAAGCCCAATTGCAAAAGGAAAAAAAAAACCATAATTAATTTCAATAATTGGCAAGCAACTTCAGCATAAATCTGAGGTTTTTTCAAGAACAGTGACCCCATAACCTTTAATTTGATAGAAAACTTGTTCCTTTTGACTCCATCAAATTTTTAAAGATGCATATAAAGTCATTGTTCAATGAAACGGTTAGCTAACCCTTATTTTATGACAATAAAAAGGAAAACAAATACAATTAGTTAAAACCAAATAAAATTTGACCAAAAAAAAGGAGATTGCAGGAGGCTGAAGAGGAAGGAGGGAGGAGATTAGGGTGAGAGGGAGAAAGGAGATGGAGTGGAAAACGAAGCGTCCAACCCAATCAATTCTAATTAGGGTGTTTTAATTATTAATTTTTTTTAAAGAATAAGTGTGTTAATTATAGTAATAATAAAACTAAAACTAAAGATGTGGCATGTCAAAGTAAACTGCCACATAAGGTAGCATAGAAATTATGGTATAATAACAGGGTAATAATAATAGTATTACTCGTATTTTCATCATGAGAAGTACGGCATTCCCATTATATATCCAAGTGTTTATTTTGTAATTATGCGTACAATATTCCAGTTACATGGGGGCATCTTTCTAATTATTCCTCATTTATTCTTTGACCTTAAATTCCGGATCCTTTTATTGGGGATCTTAGAAATTCCGTGATCGTGATCGTTCATCGTACATTGTGCGATCAATTTTCATTAAGTACTATTTATATTTAATTTTAAATTTTAAATTTTGAAATGATTTCTGACAGTACGATGTACGATGAACGGTCACGATCACTGAATTCTTAAGATCCTCAAGAAAAGGATC